ATTGCTTTTCTAGGCTCAAATTTCTGTCTCCAAAGTTTGACACTTCTTTCACATTTTCCACTTCAAGATGATATTTTAAAACTACTTGGGCCAACTCACATCAATCACAGTTCTGCTGCTATGAACTGTAGCATTTTTAACCTTGTGGCAGGTAGTATCATCACATGACAAATGGTTAAATGATATCAGAATTTCCACTGCACAGTAGTAGAAAGAACTTCCCGTCAGTATGTGTTAGAAACTAACCTAGCACCGATTAGAATGTAATTATATTTTACCCCAACACCACAAATGTACAAAATGGATAGATACTAAAATCAGTAAATAAAATCCCCAACATTTTAGTAGAGGAAGCCGTACACACAAAGTCCAGTAGGGTAGAAACCATTGACCCCAGGAACCTCAGTCTGATGGATTCAACATTTAGTCCTATTGGACTCAATGAATTGCTAGAGTATCCATACCTGTTCACCATTTGCTCACTCTCCAAGTGAGATTTTGCTTCTGGATTCAATGAACAATGCTGCTGTGGTTTAAGATGAGTGTCTTATGTGAGAGAGGCTGGAGTACTAAGAGCTGGTGATTCACACTCTAGGAAAGGCTAGACAGCAGGTTTTCCTAGGGAGTCAAAGGTGTTCAAAGTACACCATAGATGACAGTTGTTAGGATTTGGCAGCAGATGTGAAATGCTATCATAGTCTTCCTGGCCAGAGGGACCCTCCCCAGATAGCTTATCTCCCATGACAGGTTTTCATTTGCTGCCTCAGGATGGGTGCTGATTGATCCTCTCTTTGCTGACTTATGGACCAAACCTGGAGGGTAGAAAGCAGATATAAAATAGAAGCACCAGAGATACACATGCAAATGTACTCAGATACACATGAGGCCCCTTCTGCAGCCTCATGCTACAAAACCTGCTAATCATCTCCACAACAGGAGGGGGTTCACCCAGCTACACACTCCATGGGTCTTGGTGTCATATCAGTCATAGCTGATTATATCCATTGACAAGGATAATCCATTGACATTGTCAATGGATAATCATATCCATTGAAAAGTCTAAGCTAGCCTTTTAATTTGGAGTTCATTGTAAAGTAATTAAGATCAATACTTGGTGCCAAATATGTGACATAACTTGAATTAGGTGATTCACTAATAGGAGGACCACAGAATTCTGGTGTTGGGGCTGGAGTGTATCCAGATGACAAACCTAAGTGTCTCCATTTATAAGTGGCCCAGATGATGTTTTCACTGATGAGGAAAGTTAAAGCAGGGAAAGGAATTTGGAGGGGAAGTTCCTGAATAGAGAAAGAAAAGACTAAATGGCAAAATACAGAATGAAACTGAAATAGGCAGGAATGTAGAGTTGGACGGACCCACGCCTGACTGTGGACTCTGAATCTTACCTCCTTCCCAAGGGGTAGAATCCTTCAACTGTGGGGCTCATCAGTTAAACAATTTCCTTGACGACACAGAAATTATAATTAGGGCTGAATCTTGGGTATGGTATTTTTATTCTGTATTTAATACTCCCGATTATCCTATGTTGGCAAGCAAACTAAGGTTGGAAGAGATAAATCACTTGGTAAAGTTCACACGAAAAATTCTGAATTGAGATTTGACCATGTCCTCTGATTTTATTGCTTTTTTTTTGTGGTGCTAGGGATTGAACCCATGGCCTTGTGCATGCAAGGCAAGCACTCTACCAACGGAGCTATATCACCAGCCAAGTTCTCTGATTTTTAGAGTTGTAGTTTCCTAATTATTAGCATGTTATTTTGGGATTCAAGTACCTGAATTGGATTGCAATCAATCTTTTTTGGAAATTTCATTTGATTTACATTTTATGTGAAATTAGTCTGCTCCGTGCATGGAAGGTGGAATTGGAGCTGATTTTTCCATTTGTGAAACTGGAAAGTGTCAGGCACAGCAACCTGGACAGGAGAACGCTTGGGACAGACAGACACATGACCCAAAGAGTTGCCTCAGAAGGACCCCCTTGAAGAGGCCACTTGGCCAGTATCTCTCTGATTTGCCATTCAGGCTTCCTAACCACAGTTACAGGAGACCAGCGGCCTGCCAGATCCCGTTCCAAAGTCTGAACTCTGCAGACTGGATGAGATCACTCTTCCTGGCCTGGCTGGCTGTAACACTCTGGAAGACATCCTGAATGAATGAATACATAAAAGAATAAGTGAATGGCTCCATGGGAACTGTGAGCAGAGTCGACATCAAGAAGCCATTTAGCTTCTGCAAGATGTAGGGGTCTGCCTCAGAGGAGCCAAGTCACCTGCCCACCTGACTGGGTGCCACGGTGATGGAGCAATCCTCACATGGGATTATCCCTTGACTCCTGAGTTCCTCTGCCCAATTCCACTTTTATACATCCTTGGGGACACTATTGTAGGACTCAAATTTCTCTATAAACTGATTTTGAGGGATGAATATTATTAACTGCTGCAGAGAGACTAATGAAAAGAAAATAATGGATTTGAAGTTAGAGGTCTGAGTTTCTAGTTTGCAATTTATGGGTCAGTCTTGAGATCCTCAGTTATGTCATGTGAATAGTAGGCATGATAAAAAATATTGGCTGTCTTGGGCTTTCTGGGAGCAAAAAGAATAAGATAGGGCAGGGTATACAAACATTTTACTTTGTATACAGAAGAAAATTAAATTGTCATGAAATTTTGGTGTACCTAACCCTTTGGACTCTTAACTTAGTCATGTGATCCATCATTTAGCACACACCTACTAATCAAGAAATTGTTATGTGTCCTGGCATAAACCTGAGAAGCACATCAAAATCTTTCTTGAAATCATGACAGTTACATTGCAACCTTGGCCTATGAGATCAATGGGCACAAGGAGAATCGTCTGATTTATTTATGTGTCCTCACTGCCCATCCTTGTCCCCACCCTAGCACTTGGCAGCATGAGTGCCATTTTGCTGGCACTCAAGATATATTAAATCAATCAGTGTATTAAAGAGCAGACATCAAAGTCCCCTGTAATCCGTATCCACATAATTGCTTCTTGATGCAAATCAGGCCTATGTATTCTCTAATTAAAATCCTCCAAAGCCCTTCAGGTTCTTGATGATACAGTCCAGATGTCTTAGCCTGGCATCTAGTCCTTAGCTTTTCCATCCAAGTAGACCTTCTTGCCAGTGTGGACATTCTGTACAGTCACATTGTTCCTGAATGCAGGGCACAGGCTTTCCCCTGTCTGGTTCATTTGCTGCTTGTACTTGCTTTCTGCTGATATAAGTGCAACACGTCACGATGGTTCTGACTATGACTCCCATCAGCTAAGAGACTCTTGAGATTTTTGTAATCCTAAATTTCTAGATTTGACAGTTTGATGTTCAAATATATATAACTTTCTCTCTCATACACAATTATATTAAGTATATATAACTATTCACACTTTCTTAAGATGTTTTGCCATTTATTTCCTTTTTGATAGTGAAAGGCAGGTGCAATTGGAGTCAAACAGTATTAATAGTAGAGGTAGGAGTCCAGCTCAAGGCTGTGGACCCTCAGCTGAGAACTATGTTTCCCCTACCCAGTGTAGAGCATCTTGGGATAGGAGGAAGTTAAGCTATTGTCTATGTCCTCACACCCATGTTTCTTAAAGTTTTAAATTTGTCCTAATTAGTTGTATATGATAGTGGAATGCATTTTGACACATTGTACACAAATGGAGCACAAATTCTAATTCCTCTGGCTATACGTGGTGCACAGTCACACGGGTAGTGTAACCATACATGTATATAGGGTCATAATGTCCGTCTCATTCCACTGTCCTTCCCACTCCACCCCCTGTCCCTCCTCTTACTCCCCTCTGCACAATCCAAAGTTCCTTCACTCTTTCCTAGCCTCCAGCTCCTCATTATGGATCAGAATCTGCTAATCAGATAAAACATTTGACCTTTGGTTTTTTGGGTTTGGCATTTTTCACTTAGCACGATATGCTCCAGCTTCATCTATTTACCCTCAAATGCCATAATCTGAAAACCATTTTTAATTAGAGAGAGACACTTGTCTCTGAAATGAACCCCGACCCTACTGAATAGGGAGAACTATATCTTTTCTTAAATTATCCAACAAAAATGTCATGCCCTCTCAAAACAACATGTCTTTCTAGGTGTAGTAGCACATGTTCATAGTCCCATCTACATGGGAGGCTGAAGCAGCAGGATCCCCAGTTCAAGACAAGTGTGAGCCACTTAGCAAAGCGCTTAGCAGCTTGGTGAGTCTCTGTCTCAAAATAAAAAAGGTAGAATCTGAAATGTAGTAAATTAAATTCTATGCATGTATGATATTGTCAAAATGGAAACAATTATGTATAACTATAAGTCACTAATAAAGGAAAAAGGGGGGAGTTAGTGATATAGTTCAGGGGTAGAGCACCCCTGAATTCAATTCAGTATCCCAACACAAACACACACACACACACACACACACACACACACACACACACACACCACACACCTTATTTTCTTTTCTATAAAATTGCTTTATTAATCCTTCCAGTGCATGCATTGAAGGTCTACCAAAGTCTACTATGTGTTCTTCTCTGTGTTTGGAGGACATGTTTGTTAGAATTTACTTGACTAGTTCTTAGTTAAGTGCTGTCTAGTGCTTTTCGGGGCCAAGGTGAACCCACGTTAAATTTTGCTTTGTTTTGTTTTGTTGAGATGAATCAGATGGAAATCTGTCACCTGGGCATGGTAGATGTTTTGCAGTAACTGAAGTACAATGTAAGAACTGTTAGGACAGGGGGCTAAGCTGGGAGCTAGCTTGGCCTTCAACTCCCAGATGAGTGATCTGTGGTGACTCTTCCAGGATGTGCCAGGATGAATGACTGGTGAAGGGACATTCTTGGCAAATGGAACAACTTGGACAAAGACATGTATATCCTGAGATATTTGGGAACTCCAATCAGAAGGTTAGTATAGGGGCCTAAGGAAAAGCTAAGAAGTCAGAGACCAAGAGATTGAGGAAATCAGCCAGGACCTAGTATAGGATGAAGTATGAAAGACCTCTGTGGCCATTCCCAGGGTCTCCCAGCCTTAGGAAAAAACATTTTCTTTCAACCTCAGGGAGCTAATAAACGTGTGCTGTTTTCCAAAGAGTGTTGGTGATCCTACAGCTGAAGGGTAAAGAGATGTCCACATTATTACCACCTAGTTTCAATAAAACAGCAAAGTGCTTGCCACATTTTAAAGATGAGAATAAAAAAAAATTCCATTTTGTAACAATTCCCAAAGAGAAACAAGTTCCACTCTTTTATCTTTAGCCCTTTGCTTACTTTGGGATTCTTTCCCTTCCATTGAAAAGTGGGGGTGGACATGATAGACTCTTCTTTGGGAACTGGGGAATTGTTTTAGAGTACTAAAATATTAATAATTGTGTTCAAATGATCACTCTGCAAAATTGTAAAGATGCTGTTTTTGTGTTTTTATTGCCATAGGAGCCAACATGCACACGGACACACACACACATGTACACACACACACACAAGATAATAAACAGGAATCCTCTCTAGAGGAAGGGAGAGAGCTTCAAGAGGTGGGGAAAGACAGCTATGCTCTTTCGACTGGGGGGAGACAGGGGGAAGTTTACACAGTTCATGGACAAGCTCATGCTTGAGAAATTAGCTATTCCTTAGATCAAACTCCTGGAAAATACTTAAGTTGTGAAAACAAGTTGCAAGAAATTCATTCTTTCTGCCAGTAACTTATAAAAACAAAATATTAAACTGTAGGGCTGGGAGGAATCTGAAAAGCCAGCCAGATAAGAAAATTGAAACCAAAGCAACTGTTTGTTCAAGGTCAAAGTACTCACCTCCAGTGTCCCTCTCCTGGACTCACAGAGGGTTAGCACTGAAGTGGAATTCTTAATGCTCATGCAATGCAGTAATTACATATCCCTGCAAAACATACTCTGGTCTTTCAGGGACTAGATCAACAAAGTTTTGAGGATGAAGTAGCAGAGGAGAAAACAGAGAAGGAGACAGAAAAGGATGATACAAATTTCCTACTTGGGTCAACTAAAGTTGTTCCAAAGAATTTTTCAAAATAACAGTTACTAGGACCCATCCATATTAGAAGGTTAGGAGCATTCCATGGTTGGTTCATCCCATAACAAACTCCAGTGAATCCTTCATTTATCAAAAAGGGTGGTCTTAGACACCTTGGGATACGTGGAATGTTTATAGAACTTTGACAACAATGAGGTCCTGCAATGTAGTCTAAACATGCAGAACGAAGATCTCACAATGGGGTAGAAAACTAGTGATTTGAAGTCAGGAGACTGAAGTTCATATTAAAGTTTTCACACCCATACTGTCTTCTCTAGAGGACAGTGATGCCGTTTCTGAAGTGGTGAACTTGGCTTTGGAAAACCTTAACAACAGGTTGGTGTCTGACTCCATCATGCCTTTATCCAAGGCATTCTCTGCCTGCAATGTCACTCTTCCTGGCTCCTTCTGTAAATCATTGTTTATGATTCTGCAGGGAGAGCATCCTTCAGGAAGACCTGACTATCACTCATCCCACCCCTCTTCCTGACCCAGCCTGCATCAGGACCTCTTCTTCCAGGCCCCACGCCATCTAATGCTTGTCATCTTTATCACAACCACCAAATATTCTGGGTACCCCAAATGTCATCAAGATGGTGATTAATCTCACCCGAATAAAAAAAATGCTTGAAGTTTTTTTTCATCTGATTAATAAAAATATCTTCTTGATATTACCTCTACCCTCAACTAACTCCTCACTATCTTCAAGGAGGTTTAAGACACTCTTAGCAGTTTCTTAGCATTCATGAAATATGGTAACTAAGGGAGGTCTTGTCTGAACTACAAATGATCTTTTAATGACTAAAGCAACAAAAAGTGAGGATTAAATATTAGAGTGAAAAAAAGAGCAGGAGAGAGAAGAAGAAGATCTGGGATAATATTTAATTCTTTCCCAAACGATTAGTATCAAACCCCATTCCTGGTACATAGACGACATTAAATATGTATTTTTGAAAGTGACCTGAACTGTGGGCATAGTCAAGCTATCTACAATAATGAGGTAATAGTAAAGGTTAAGAGCCCAAGACAAAAGACAATTCTTTAAGTATTCCTTTTCAATAACTTAGAATCCTTCACAACAGCTCCGTGGCAAAGCCATGACATCACCAGTAGGGGCTGTGTCATTTATCTGAGCCATATTTCAGTTGTGTTGTCCCTAAACTGTAGCCAAAATAAGCTGTCTTCGTCCCTGAGGCAACGGCCAAGGCTTGGAAACCTTGAGTACACACACATAAATCTCAAGGGGAAGAAACATACTTAAACCTTTAAAGAACTTATATGTATTTAGATCTTTGAAATTGTTGTTTGGTTTTATGGTAAACAGGATAAGACTGTCCCGAGAGATGTGCGTGTGTGTGCCCTTCCACAAAGGTGGCAGTGTCCTTTGAAGTGCGCAGAGAGTTATGAAAGAGGACTCAGACATTCACAGGCCACTTCCCTAGACACGAGTTATCTGTAAAAAAAAAAAAAAAACCAACAAAACACTGCTTATAGTTCCAAGAGAAACCATAATCTGCTGTCTATAAACCCAAGTGCAGAGGACAGAGTCCTGGGACCAGGGACTGACTCGTCAAATGTTCCATTAATCCGTGGGATCTTGAGTAAGTTCAATGACTTTGGACCTCGGTTTCCATACCCATGGTTTTTCTATAACTCGAGGACTTCAGAAAATCATTGCATTTTGCCTGTAAGAGGACGGCTATATCAGAGGTATTTCATGGGGTCTGTTTTGTCAGTTCCTCATATTTGGCTGTTTTGTCTGTTCCTGTTCCTAAGTGACATCTACAGGCTGAAAAGTTCCTCTACCTGGAGAGCATTGGGCAGAACCGTTTACCCAATGTTAAACTGGAAACAAACAAACAAATGAACAAACACACACACACACTTTTATAACATGGCCTTTGGAGATCTCGATAGCCTTATCATTTGCAGAAACTTCATAGATGGCTCATTTACAAGTCATCGACAGTTTTCGATGTAGACTCTGTCATTTGACTCTGCCTTTATTTTT